ATATCATAGAATTGGAAGGGACCCCGAAAGGTCATTGAGTCCAGCCCTCTACTTTCACTAGCAGGACTGATTTTGCCCCAGATCCCTAAGAGGCCCCCTCAAGGACTGAGCTCACAACTCTGGGTTTAGCAGGCCAATGCTCAAACCACTGAGCTATCCCTCCCCCCGATGTACTCAGTCAATATAGGGATAGTTGAAATCCCCCATTATTATTGAGTTTTTTATTTTAATTGCCTCTCTAATCTCCTTGGGCATTTCACAGTCACCTCACCATCCTGGTCAGGTGGTTGGTAGTGTATTCTTACTGTTATATTCTTATTATTCAAGCATGGAATTACTATCCCTAGAGATTCTGTGATACAGTTTCTGTGGCATGGGTAAAACGTTATACAGAACTGTTGAACGTCAAGGTAGATACGGAGAGGAGTTGCTAAGACTGAATATTGCATGCACATGGATGCGGATTGAAGTGTGTCCATGCCCCTCTCCTAGTTACTCATGGAGCCCTCAAATGCACCGTGCCTGGTAGAGACCTTTAACTGTAGAGTGATTGCAATGCTACGTTCCTTCAGGGACTGATGTCTCTAAAGTGTGCCCAGTCTGTGACGGTGCAGGGACCAGGACCCAGCCTCTAGTTCTGCAACTTGCCACTCTGTGACCAAGTGAGGATGGCCTGTCAGCTGGTATGTCACAAGGGTGAGTTTCTGAGTGTGTGGCAGAAGGACCAGCATCCGAGCTAGGAGTGAGGGCCTAACTGCCTTGAGAGGGCAGGAGTTGGACAGATAATTGGCCAAGGTCCCTCCCTCAGAAGCCAAAGGAGTCCCCTCACCAGGGATAAATTGGGCTCCAGGTGTCTGATTTGCCCAGGTTAGGCCCGGCTGCAGTGATCCGGTTTGTCATTTGTCAGGGATCTGTAGACTTATTGATCAATGAGGAGATAAGTAAGAACTTCCCTCATCTGCTTACTGGTGGAGTTCAGTGTATTTGTGGGGAGTGGGCAGGGCTGTCCGAACCAGATACAGTCAAAAGTTGTCAGTTTTGCCTTAAACTGATGGATAAAGTTACCTGCATATTAGAAGGGTTTCCTCCCCTGCTCACAGTAGGAAATATCTCCAGCGCTGCAAGTCCCAGGGAATGTTGGGTATCTGCTGTACTTGGCAGGTGTATAAGGGCGTTTGCGGTAGGTAGAGTCTATATTGTAGGGTGATGGTGATGTCATTTGTCTTTCCCTCTTCCCAAGGGATTTAAATCGATGAGGTCATGGGATAGGAAGTAAGTTCACAAATCCTGTTCTGGGCATTATTCCAAATAAGAGCATACTGAGCAGAACACTTGCTGAAGAGGTCTGCAGATCAGGGGCGGGCAAACTTTTTGGCCTGAGAGCCTCATTGGGTTTACGAAATTGTATGGAGGGACGGTTAGGGGAAGCTGCGCCTCCCCAAACAGGCAGGCGTGGCCCAGCCCCCCTCCATCACCGCCCCCCCTGCTTCTCACCCCTGACAGCCCCCCCGGGACTCCTGCCCCATCCAACCCCCCCATTCTCTGACGGCCCCCCCAGACCCCTGCCCATCCACCCCCCCTGCTCCCTGTCCCCTGACCGCCCCCAGATGCCCCACCCCTAACTGCCCCCTGCTGCCCCATCCAACCCCTCTCATTCCTGACTGCCCCCCCAGGACCCCTGCCCCATCCAACCACCCCTTCTCTCTGACCGCCCCTGGAATCCCTGCCCCCATTCAACCCCCCTGTTCCCCGCCCTCTGACTGCCCCGACCCCATCCACACTCCCTGACCACCCCCCCCCCGAACTCCTCTGCCCTCTATCCAACCACCCTTCCCCGCTCCCTGCCCCCTTACCGTGCCGGTGGCTGGCGGCACGGCTGCACCATGACAGGCAGCCACGCCTCCCGGCTGGAGCCAGCCACACACCGCGCAGCACAGAGCACTGGGTCACGCCGGGCTCTGCAGCTGCGCTGCCCCAGGAGCTCGCCGCCCAGAGCATTGCGCAGGTGGCTCAGTGAGCTGAGGCTGCGGGGGAGGGGGAACAGCAGGGGAGGGGCCGGGGGCTAGCCGCCCGGGCCAGGAGCTCAGGGGCTGGGGAGAGCGGTGCCGTGGGCCGGATGTGGCCCGCGGGCCGTAGTTTGCCCACCTCTGCTGTAGATGCTGAAAGATTTGGACCCCCTTCCTAAGGAATTGACCAATGCCCTTTACTCAGATTCTGAACTGGATGTCGGGATTTCTAGTCACCTTATTTGTTGAGTGGGTGCGATGAGATTTTAGCACTAACACTTTACTCACTGAACCCCCTTAAGTCTTGCGTTTGCCAAACCACAAATTAGCTAACTCTCTCACACATCCCCCCTGCCTCTGGCCCAGCAATCTCACTCCATTTCTCAGGAAAGATTTAAGGGCAGAGAGACCTCAAAAACCAGTCTTACAGAATGCACTATATTTGAATTCTCTGAAGAATAGCTAAACTACACATGTCAAAATAAATGAATACTTGTCATGCAGTCAGTTTAATTGTTTTAACTGGGTTTGTTTGCATACTTACTAATCTGGTGATCTCAAAAGTTCTCCCAGTCATTAGTGTCCATTTTACTATTTTTTCATTCCCCTTTGTCTTGTTTATTAAAAAAAGATCTATCAATTCCAAAAAGTTAGTACTAGAGCTGGTCAGGACTGTTTTGACAAAATGATTTTTTCAGAAAATGCCAGTTCATCAAAACCAAAACATTTTATGAGAAAGGGTTAGTTTGAATCAATTTTCCAACTTGAAAAAATATCCACAAATTGTCAAAACATTGCAATTTAAACAAAAATTCCATTTTTCTAGTTTGAAATTACTTTTTGTTTTGAAGCCTAGCCAATTATGGTAAAAAAAAATATATTTTTTTTTTGGTTAAGTGGCCAAAATTAAAAAGGAATCATTCCAGTTGACCTGAACCAGTTTGGTTTTTTAGATTTTTGATTTGCAAAAACTTTCAAGAGTATGGTGTGAAAATGGCTCTCTTGTGAATTAGAATCCCACGGGATCCTTGCCTGTTCTGTCCTGGGGGCCATTTGTACTCTGCAATGTTGTGTTCTGTGATGCTGAGCATTTTGTTGTGGCCACTTACAGACCTGCTAGTAGCAGCTGGTAAGGAGATGTCAGTCTGCAGGGATGCTGTAGGAGCACCAAGTGGATCATCCTACAGATGTTGTAAGATGCACACTGGGTGCTGTAAATACTATTTGCTCATAATTAGAGCTGATCACAATTTTTTTTGAACAAAAAGTGACCTTTATTTGAAACTAAAACTTCTGCAAGAAGCTTTTAGGGTCCCCCCCCCCCATTTTCTGGATTTTTGTTTTTGTGTTGTTCCTATCTCCCATTTTATCACTAAATGCAATAAAATGAATTATGTCTGTGGGGTATTTTTTTCCCTTTTTCATTTTTTTTTTGACAGTCTAGCTCTTCAAAACATCCTCACATTTGGAGAACATTAGTGACAAAAGGAAAAATGGAAAAGTGAAGGGGAAAATCCCTAACCATCATTCATTTTTTTCCACAGGCAACTTTAATCTGGCGTTTCCTAACTTCTGCAACCTTAATAATGTTCTTTGAACACAATTTTTGTGTGGTGTGTGTGTATATACCAGGGATTGGCAACCTTTGGCACGCGGCCCGCCCCGTTTACTTGCCGCGTCCGCAGGTTTGGCTGATCGCGGCTCCCACTGGCTGCGGTTCGCTGTCCCAGGCCAATGGGGGCTGCGTGAAGCGGGGGCCATCACATTCCTCGGCCCGCGCTGCTTCCCGCAGCCCCCATTGGCCTGGGACGGCGAACCGCAGCCAGTGGGAGCCACGATCGGCCGAACCTGCGGACGCGGCAGGTAAACAAACTGGCCTGGCCCGCCCGGGCACTTATCCTGGCGGGCCGCATGCCAAAGGTTGCCGATCCGTGGTATATACGTATGGGGGTGGGGGTGAGGTGGAGAGAAGATCATTAAAGGGGAAACTAGCTCTTTGCAAATCTGTCTAATGTCCCTACAGCCAATATGTTACATGGGCAGCTACACTCTGCATGCACACATTAACTTTTAACTTGGATTCACAATCTGCGCTAAAGTCAGTCACATCCCAATAGCATAGGTGCTGGAACTAGGGTTGCTGGGGGTTCTGCAGCACTCCCTGACTTTAAGTGGTTTCCATTATATCCCGGGTTTACAGTGTGGTTCAGTGGCTCTCAGCACCCCACTATAAAAATTGTTCCAACATCCCTGCCCAATAGTTACTGTATGTGCACAACTCCGTATCTGCTGTATTCACTAGGAACGCTTACTCTTGAGTCATTTGAATTCTTTTTTACTCTCTGTGGAATTAGCTATCTCATTGTGATGAGTGCGAGGCCACTAGTTTAATAGTCTGTATTTTGAACGGGCCTAAAGAGAAAACAAGTAAGTTTTTAAAGAACAGGCCTATTAAACTTAACAGTGGTGTCACTAGTAGGAAATTATAGAAATGGTGCTACTAACCTACAGACTATTGAATAGAGAATGGTAACCATCCTACAGCATTCTATAGTGGTGCTTTGATTCCCTGTTAAATTCGGTGAGACTGAGTCACTGCAACATTCCCATTCCTCTGGCAGAAGCCCCTTTGCCTCCCCTGGAATTCAGCACCTTGGGAAGTAAAACTTTCCAGCAGAGGGAAACAAACCAATCTGCCTGGCTTTTCGGTGGAACAGGTGGTATTAGCTAAAGAGTGAGGCAAAGGAACAAGCAAACCCCTGTAAACCAGACTTACTGAGGTTTGCGATTTATTTTACTTAGTTCTTAAACATCCTCTGAGAATACCTATCTATTTGTGCTGCCCGTGTCTTCAAAGGAAGTGTATATCAGCTTTTTTGTTTTTGCGTCTTTGCAGCTAGAAAAAACATATACTAGAGAGAAAGTTCAGGGTGTTTGTTTGCAATTATTTTGCAGAGGAATTTGATTTGTTGCCAAACTCTGCTATATCCACAGAAATTCCAGCAGCACCGAGATCTATGTCTGGGAGATTCTCTGCAGCAAGGAGACAGAGACACTGGCCTGAAGGTGGCTCGGCCTGACTGACAGCCGCCTGGGAAAAGGTCCTTTCCCTCTGATGCACCAGAGAGGGGCGACGGCAGAGCCATGTCTGTCTTGGATGATGGTTCTCTAAAGCACCCCCCTGAGTCTGCAGTGGACCAGCGCTGGAAGTTCCTCGTCTTCTACCTCTGTTTTTACGGCTTCATGACCCAGATCAGACCTGGGGAGAGCTTCATCACCCCCTACTTGCTGGGAGCTGACAAGAACTTCACCACAGAAGAGGTGAGTTTGCAGTGTGTCTCTCCGCCTCCTGCACCATGCAGCTGCCATGCTCCTGGCTCTGGAGAGCAGCAGTCTGCAACATGCACTCCTTTTCAGCATCTCCTTAAGGGCATTAGGCTCCCGTAAACACTGCTCCCGTGGGACTGCCACAGGGGTCACTGAAGTGATTCTCTCTGGCGGATGGGAGAGCAGTAAGTGCTGAGATGAAGCAATGGGTGGGAGGTGAGAACAGCTACCTGCTAATGACGCAAATCTGTCGGTGAGGTGGGACAGCACCGGACTGGAGTGAGAGGTACATCCGTCCGGGACAGGTGTGCTCTCTGTACCAGCAATTCAGAGCCCTCTCCCACCTGGTAGGCCAGTGGCTGACCCTTACATCCGTTTGCGTAGTGTGCGCAATTCCTTGTGTTTGTCACACAACCAGACAGTGCTTTTCTCAAGCAGCAAGAGTGCCCCAGCGCATCTGCAGGGGTGTTGGGAGTTCTGTGTGCTAGCCCCCTGGTGGGTTACGGGGTTTGCTCTTACATGGATAGCAAGCTACTGCCCATTTGCACATGGCTCAAGAGCTCTGAAGGCTGATGGCACCTCGGGGCGAGGGATCCATCTGGGAGGCTGTCAGTGAAAAGGGGGCTCCGCACCAGTGTTATCCAATGGTGTGAGGGGACACTGCCTGCGCATACATATGCTACATTAGGGTCTGGAGACAACACCGCTGCCACGTTCTTCACATGAGGCATTCTCAGCCCCTTTGTAAGAGCCGTTCCCTCTGGGCGCTCGGTGTATCTCGCTGAGCCGTGGAAAGGCCACAGGAGGTGCACTCTGTACCTATGCCCACAAATAGAGCTTGCCCCGTGGCCACCCACATGCGGGGACTGAGTTAAACTGAGCTGGTTTTTAAATGTGAGAGCTGGGCCAAGGGTAGCCCAAGCTAAGACTCTGCTACCTGTAAAATCCTCTGCGTTTAGGGGAGATGTTTGAGACCCCCCATGTCCTGATGGATCCGTGTGATGAATCCTGCTTCCCCACGCTGTCCCGCTGCCCTCCCCATCCCTGAGTCCAGAGCTGTTAGTTCCTGCTGCGGCTGCCCAGCCCAGCCCATGGAAATGAGAAATGCATGGTCAGAGATGGCGAAGTGCAGCGAGACACAGCCCTGCCTCTCTGACGTGCAGGAGGGAGGAGACTGCTGCGCCAGGTTTCTAGGGGAGGCGTCTGAGTCGCTGTAGTTCTGCAGTGCCAGCCGGGATACTGCTGTGACTGGGGGCAGTCTGAGGTGCATGTTTCACACATGGCTTGTCAGGGGAGGGAGAGGCTGTAACATCCTCTCTGTGATCAGCCAAAGGGCTCCTCAGCACTGCCCAGTGCTACCGAGAGGGATCGGCGTTGGGGCTTGTGCTCAGGGCTCCCGAGGCAGAGCCTGGCGGGAGTGAGGGGGGAGGCAGGCAGAGAGGGCACAGAGAGGGGTGGGTGGGGAGACAGCGATGGGCTGTGGTGCAGGAAGCACTGGTGATGGCCTGGCACAGCTCCCCCCCGCTGCCCATGTTCTCATCTGAGTCTGGCCAGCCCAGAGAAGTCAGCTGGGAGCTGTGGGTACAGAGGAGGCTGCTGTCAGTAGCAGGGAAGGGTGTGTACTTTACATCCTGCTTTATCCCATTGGTTCTGCTGGGCCCACAGCTCCCGCATCCCTAGGGTGACCAGATGTCCCGATTTTATAGGGACAGTCCTGATTTTTTGGTCTTTTTCTTGTATAGGATCCTATTACCCCCCGTCCCGATTTTTCACACTTGCTGTCTGGTCACCCTACCACCCCTCCAACCCAGTGGGGATGGTCTGTGTGCCAGAGCCTGGTGCTGGATTTGGGCACTCCTAGGCTGTGGGGGGAGCAGCAGTACAGCAGGCTAGGGGCCGACATGGTTTCCAGCTAGCCCAATTGTCATCCCTGGTGCCAGCGTGATCGCTCTGTGGGGTGTTGGGGGGTTTGGTTTCCTCACTCCTCAACCCAGTTTCCTTCTTTGATAGGGTTACAGGGCTAGTGGGCGGGGGGAGCAATAGACGTGACATATTGTGATTTCAGTCAGACTGTGGATACATTCCCACGTGACCGTCTCCTGGACAAACTAGGGAAATCGGGTCTAGATGAAATTACTGTAAGGCAAGTGCGGAACTGGCTGAAAGACTGTACTGAAAGCTAGTTTTCAATGGTTCACTGACAAAGTGGCAGGGTATATTTAGTGGGGTCCCCTGGAGGAGAGTCCTGCATACAGTAATAGTCCATATTTTCATTAATGACTTGTATAATGCAGTGGAGAGTATGCTTATGAAGTGTGCAGATGACACCAAGCTGGGAAGGGTTGCAAGCAGTTTGGCGGACAGGATTAGGATTCAAAATGACGTTGACGAAGTAGAGAATTGGTCTGAAATCAACAAGATGAAATTCAGCAAAGACAAGTGCGAAGTACTTCACTCGGGAAGCAAAAATCAAATGTACAACTCTGAAGTGGGGAAGAACAGGCTAGGGGTAGTTCTCCTGAAAAAGATCAGGCAGGGGGTGTGAGTGTGTCACAAACTGAATGTGAGTCAATAACATGATGTGGTTGTGAATTAGGCTAATATCATTCTAGGGTGTATTAACAGGAATGTTGGATGTAAGACATCAGAGGCAATTGTCCTGCTCTGCTTAGCACTGGTGAGGTCTTAGCTGGAGAACTGTGTTTAATTCTTAGATTCATGGAGTCTAAGCCAGAAGGGACCACTCTGATCATCCAGTCTGACGTCCTGTACCGCACAGGCCAGAGACCTGCCCCCAAAATCATTTCTTAGAGCAGATCTTTGAGAAAAACATCCAACCTTGATTTAAAAATTGTTAGTGATGGAGAATCCACCACGACCTCTGGTAAATTGTTCTAATGGTTAATTACTGTCACCGCTAAAAATGTACACCTTTATTTCCAGTCTGAATTGGTCTAGCTTCAGCTTCCAACCATTGGATCATGTTAGACCTTTCTTTGCTAGATTGAAGAACCCATTAAATATTTGTTCCCCCATAGGTGTTTATAGACTGTGATCAAATCATCCCTTAATTTTCTTTTTGTTAAGTGAATAGATCGTGCTCCTTGAATGTATAAGGCAGCTTTTCTAATCCTTTCATCATTCTCCTGGCTCTTCTCGGACCCCTCTCCACTTTATCAACATCCTTTTTGAATTGTGGGCACCAGAACTGGATGCAGGATTCCAGCAGCGGTCGCACTAGTGCCAAATGCAGAGGTAAAATAACCTTTCTACTCCTACTGGAGATTCCCCTATTTATGCATCCCAGGCTCACATTAACTCTTTTGGCCCACTGGGAAATCAAGTTCAACACATTATCCACCATGACCTCCAAATCTTTTTCAGAGTCCCTGCTTCCCAGGTTAGAGTCCCCCACCCCGTAAGTATGGCCCACATTCTTTGTTCCTAGTTTTGTACATTTACATTTAGCCAAATTAAAATGCTTATTGTTTGCTTGCGCCCAGTTTACCAAGCGATATAGACCTCTCTCAATCAGTGTCCTCTTCTTTAGTTACCACTCCTCCATAAACTTTATCAGTGATGATTTTATGTTTTTGTTCTAGTCATTGATAAAGATGTTACACAGTGTAGGGCCAAGAACTGATCCCTGCAGGATCTCATAGGAAACAGACCTGGTCAATGACGATTCCCCTTTTATGGTTACATTTTGAGACTTATCAGTTAGCCAATTTTTCATCCATTCCATGTGTGCCATGTTCATTTTATATTGATCTATATTTTTAATCAGAATGTCACGTGGTTCCAAGTAAAACACTTTACAGAAATCTAAGTATATTATATCAACATTATTACCTTTATCAATGAAACTTATAATCTCATCTGAAAAAAGACATCATTAGTTTGACAGGATCTATTTTCTATAAACACATGTAGACTTGTATTAATTACATTATCCTCCTTTAGTTCATTATTAATTAAGTCCCATATTAGCAGCTCCGTTATCTTGCCTGGGCTCGATGTCAGGCTGACAGGCCTATAGTTACTCAGTCATCCCATTGATCCTTTTTAAAAATGGGCACAACATTAGCTTTCTTCCAGTTTTCTGGTAACTTCCTCTGTGCTTCAAGACTTATTGGAAATGAACATTAATGGTTCAGCGAGCTTCTTAGCCAGCTCTTTGAAAACTCTCAGATGCAGGTTATCTGGACCTGCTGATTTAAAAGTGTCTAACTTTAAGCTTCTGTTTAACATTCTCCAGAGATACTAATGGAATGGAAAGAGTGTTTTCACTATACTATGAGACTCCGTCATCTGTTTTTCCCCGAAAACAGAACAGAAATATTTATTGAACACCTCTGCCTTTTCTGCATTATTATTGACAATTCTACCATTTCCATCTAGTATGGACCAATACCATAGTCAGGATTCTTTTTGTTCCTAATATGTGTTTAAAAACTTGTAGGCTCATAGACTTTTAAGGCCAGAATGGACCATTGTGATCATCTAGTCTGACCTCCTGCACATCTCAGGCCAGAGAATCTCACGCACCCACTCCTGTAATAGTCCCATAATCTCTGTCTGAGTTACTGAAGTCCTCAAATCATGACTTAAAGACTTCAAGTTACAGAGAATTTACCATGTGAGAATCCACCATTTGAGAATCCACCCTTGTTCAAACCAGCTAGTGACCAACTTCTCCTTATTGTCCTTAACTCTGTTAGTCATAGAGTTGTCCTTCAGTCCCTTGGCTTTCCTTATCAATTTTCTACAATTCATAATTTCTTATTTACTGTCATTATTATCATCTTCCCCTTTTTTCCATTTGTTTTATATATATATAAAAATATTGTTTACAGCTGCCTTCATTTCCCTTCTAAACCAGGCAGTTTTTCTAACCAGCACAACTTCCTCAGTTGTAGGATTAAGACTTATCGGGCATCTAGTAATGTGTTCTTAAATGATTCCCAATTATCCTTCACATTTTTCTGATTAAA